TCTAAAACATCATCGCGGTGGAAATATCCACAAGCAGACGGATGAATCCAGCTCGACGGGGCCATCCACTTGGCGAGGGCATGAAGCGGACGAGGCGGCCTGCGGCAGTTTCTTGCGGTGAAAGGGGGCCAGAGGAGCGAGTGCGGGATGGTGCTGCGACTCTTTGGAGACTGCCAGTGTGTCTGGTGCAAACATGGTGAAGCCATCTGGTGGTGATGTGAGCTGATGCATGTTCATCTAGAAGGATGCCGTCTGATGGTTTGCAGCTGTCACTGCGATAGACTCTAGACACCACGAGGAGATCCAACCCAACGTCAAAGCGGAAGAGTCCAGGTCACAACGAGACAGCCTGCGAGTCGTGCCATTAAGCTCATCCAGAAAATTGAACCCGTGGGAACGGCGCGACCGGGTGAGGTGAGGCTGAGATAACCTGCGCCGTTAGCGCCCGGTGTCACGCATGTCCGGGTGCTGAAATTAATTAAATTAATCTATCGCCAATGCTTGTTCAGTGGGTGTCGCGCACCGCAGCGGCCTCGAACCAGAACCAGCTGGTCGCCGCCCCTGGTGCACCACCACCCCCCTTCCTTTCGTTCTTCACTTTTTTAATCTATCGTCCCTGAGATCTGGGTGGCGGCTGTCTGTTTCCCCAGATGACCCAGCAGTAAATTAGATTGATTGAAGCTTGTTTTTCGTCTGCCATTCATTTCGACATCTCCGCGGATTTTGTGAGTGGCATCCGTTGAAGAAACATTCCGTTTAGAGATCAACACCAGAACTCTGATTTTCGATGACTAAACCGCCTCGTAAATCTGGACAATCATCTCGTTTGTGCCTGCCCGCAAACTCTGTCCTCCTTGCCGTCGATCCAGATTGACTTTGGCGCGTGTCGGCTGCCATCTGGCTCTTGCATCGTTAACAGTTGCTCTATCGCCCGGGCTCCTCCTCTCTCTCTCTCGTCTCACTCTCTTCCCTTCGCCCCCGTGTCCTTGCTCCTTCACAGCCAGCACGACGCTTGGGGCAAAAGATCTTCCTTCCAGGGTGACATTCTGTTGAATACGGCTCGAGCTCAGGGGGGGATGTAGGTGACCCCATGATCCGGAACGACTTCGCTTCGGAACCGCCCCGCGCCAACCTCATGTCGCCCAACAATCCTCCTCCCATCGACTCGCGCCCGGCACCAGACGTGCCGTGCCCTGCCATCAATCTCCCACTCACCTTAACCCAAAAGCTACCGAAAAGAGGCAATTGATGGTTGGCGCGAACCACCAACTCTTTGCAACGCCAACAGAGTCCAAGGGTCCCCAGCCCCACCCCCTGTCAGCGAGATCGCATTGCGATCAAACAGCCTCATCAGGGGGTCCACGCTCCCTGAGACGCCTCCTCAAACCGACCGGGTCTCAACCCGCACCCAAAGGGCAAACCACCCACTCACAGGTTTCCCCTCGGCAGAAACCTTCCCAATCTGGAAAGATAGACGGCCCCGGGCCTTGTTTGACCGACATCTCTTCCCGTCCATCTCATACACAGGAGCTGGCCGCCTTTTTTTCTGCCGTTGTCCTTGGCTTTGCGCGCGTATCCGTCAGCGACGAATTTTATTGTTATTATTTTGTGAGCACCGGTTGGCAGGCCCGTAACCCGCAAGCAGGGCGAAAGGCAACTTTTCAGCTTTCGCGATTGCCAAGAGGTCGTGTTTGATCTGTGCATTGGTGTACCTGATTTCTTCCCAGATTCGGTGCTTTTGGGCATTTTTCTAAACTGCCGCTTCCTCTCACGACGACTCCTGTTAGGTGGAATGGGGAGTAGACCGTCTTGGCAGGGTGAGAATGCAGCAGAAAGTCAGGAATAGTGTCTTCTCAACTCGTCAGCATCTATTTCAAGTTCACCAAGCCTCGCTTTCGCTTTCATGGCCGCTAATCATTCCTCATATCAAAGAAAGTCCCACCCGTCAATCGTGGGTGCAACTTCACCTCCCCCGATCCAAAGACCATCAAGGCCTCGGTCTTTCCCGACCTCTCGACCCAACCTCGGGAGCAAGCGGTAGCGAAAATCCTTAATTCACTTCATCCAACCCGTATCGACCTTCCCCGACTCATTCCCTTCCTCCATCCCCATATCTCCAGTCTCAAGCTCAACCCAGCGCTCATCGCATAACACAGATCCCCCCCAAGCCTCCCCAGCCTCGCCGAATTCCCGAAGAACCTGACTCACATCAGTCCACGGCTTCGTCTGAAGTCCAGATGACAGCCCACCACCCACTCCTCTGTCTCTTCCCCCCTTCACCCCTCTCATTATGCCGTAGATCATATCTCTTCGTCCGGTCCCAAGTCGCAAGCTGCACAGACCCAGACGGCCACGTTCCGTCTGAAAACCAAAAGAGAAAGAAAAAAAAAAAAGGGCAAGTGTTCGTCAACGCATTGTGCGTCCACCCGCGCGCCATTTCGGCCTGACTTCCATCCGATCTCGCGTTTGATGCGCACGCGCAGCCCGCGGTGCCCCCTCATGCCTGTGCCTGCTCGCACCCTGATACTATCGTACGCAAGCTTCTATTATGCCGATCGTTGCGCCGAGCGGGCTTTTCCCGAGCTTTTTTGCGGGCGGGCTGGTGGTTGGTTTGGATGAATCTTGGAGGGAGTCGGCGCTTTGCCTCGAGATACATGAATGCGCGGTCCGCATGCGATAGGCGATCCCAGCGCATGCCCTTCCATTGCATTCATTATTCTTTCATCATACTACTGCGGGAGGCTTCTTCGGGTTCGTCTTTTGCCTGTGATCAAAAGCTACGCGCTTTCTTCCGTGATATGCCCCGCATCAAGAGGAGTCTTGCTATCCGGGGAAAGTGCTGCCCACATTATGTCAAACAGTTGATTTCGTTTTGATCATTTTATCATCCCCGTCGTCCTTGTCATCCCTATCTCTGTCCCTCTCCCTGTTGTTATCGTCGTCGTTGTCGTCGTCGTCCCTATTGTCGTCTAACCCCACTAGCCGCCCAGATAACCAAGAATATCTGCTCGGATAGCAAAACTCGTCTAGATATCCGTAATTCTGTATCACGGAACTCGTTGGACAAGTCACCTTTCACACTCTGATGTAATCAGAAGTTATCTGCTCTTCCGGCTCGGCAATGTTCCCGTCGAACTCTCAATCTAGGTCCTCCTTCTTCTCTCCTCTCCCTTTGGCTTTGAGCTTAGTATTGCCGTCGCCGTGGCCGTTGCCATTATAGTCTCCCAATCATCGTCCTCAGTCGGAGTAGCTCAGTACACGGGAAACATAGTCGCTCTAGCACTTCAGAGCTCATCCCAGAGTCCCATAGAGTCGGTCTCGCCGTCGGATTCAACGATGTGCGCGTCCCTGACGAAAGTATCCTCGTCGATTTGAGGTGCCGTGGGCTCGGCATGAGCTGCTGCGACGCATGCCGTAGAGGCCAATAGGTCTAGTGCCAGGGAGGCGACATTAGAGGCTGCCTCTTTATGTCCAGCCTATCAACGACGGAAGACGACGACGAAAGACGACGGCAAACGGCGACAAAGAATGACGACAACAGCAATGACAAAAGCAATCATGAAAGCAACAGGAAAAGCAAGCATACATGAAACATGGTCACTTTAGCAAAGGAAGAACAAGGGATCTCAGCAGCATATATGGATGGCTGTGAATGAACCAAATGGCATTTCCTTTCTTTAGTAAACCACGCGCTTCCCTGCCTCGTCTTGCCAACAGAAAACGCACCGGTATCTGCGAGCCTTGTGCTTAGGCCTCCACTGCGCACCTGCCTGTGCTATTGAGCCCCTATCGTGCAGCCAGTCTATGACACAGCCGAGATCACTAACGCGGCATCCAAGTACCACCATTGCTTGCCACTCGCACTTTTCGTTCTGCACCTCTGTCTTTGTAAAGGGGAACTTGTAGTCAAGGTCGTGGTTTGCCTTTCCAGCGCCAGGGCATCCGCAAGCAAGTTCCGCCGAGCAGAGGACATTGTCGAGAAGTGCCTGACCAAGCTCGTTATCGAATCCTTTTCCGAGAACAACATGCCGTAGAGTTTTGATGCTGTCGAGAAGTTCGTAGAAGTCGCCAAGCCACGTCCACTTGTTGTTGCGCTTGGGCAGGTTGAGAAAGAGCTCATTGAGATGAGGCATGTGTCGCAGGACAGACATGATGGCGTCAAGACGCATGCCCTTGTCGCGGGGTAGGTTGATGCTCACAAAGTGCGCATGGTCGAGGGCCTGGGCCCAAAGCGATCGGAGCTCGGGATGGGAGCGGTACTCGATGCCGGGATCGTCGTGGATTCGAGCCAGCTTGATCCAGCAGTCGTCGTCGAAATGGATCATGTTCATGGAGAAGACGAAGTTCAAGATCTCGTCTCGGATCTGGCGACACACCAGGAGCAGACCGGGTCGGTTGCACTGACAGGTCTGGCTGGCTTCCTTGCAGCGATCGCAGACCTTGGATTTCTGTCGAGTCTCGTTGGTCGTGAATGGCTTGACTAAAAGCAATTTCTGGCGAGGGAAGTCATCGGTGTATTCGTATATCTTGTTTCGCAGCTCGCGGGGAAGACGAAGAATGGCCGGGGTGGTGGCCATGGTGAGTGTGAAAGTGAAGGGTGTGGTGTGAAGGGGGTAAAGTTTACCAAGGTAGGTGTGAAGAAGAGTTTTCACCTTGTTCTTAGGTGCCTAGGAAGAGGGGCCTTTCGAAAGCTGAGGTGCTAATTTGGAAGGTGCGATGGAGCTGGGAGCACCTTCCTCCGTAAATTCTCATCCTACCTTATCAGTATCAGTCACCTAACTTAAGATAAACAAGGACAATAATAGTAGAGAAAACGATACCGCTGATAGATGACGGTGGACGACGACGGCAGACGACGATGGCAGACGACGACGGTGGACGACGACAATAGATAATGATAACAGAGCCAATATACGAATCACACGCCTGCGTGGTGAACACTGCCCGGCTAGCAAAACTCCTGCTTAGTGGGTGAGATACCAAATTTACGCACGATTTGCTCAGAGAACGAAGAAGATGTACTTGGTTCCTTTATCAAGCTCATTTTGGCACTGGATACCGGAGCCCTAAGCGTCTATGTTCAGCATCGGAATGGTATCCGCGCAACTAAGAATGTTTCCTCCTCCCGTCGTCTCTCTGGCTTCAGTCTTGCCCTTCCTTCACTCTTGACATAGCTAGTGTTTGCCGTCATCGGTCCCATCCATCCCATTGCCACCTTTGAGCTTGGCAGCTGTACGGCTGTCCTACGCTTCATTCGATCTTCGAGAGGCTTCCGTACAATAGAGCTTCAACAGGCGCTTACGACGCACTCCATCAGAAGTGTCTTCCGTATAAAATGTGCAAGACCCGCCTCGGGTATGCCACCATTGTTTCAGCTGCTCACGTTTTATGGGCTGCGTTATGAAATAACAACCGAGAATCACGTTCGTCGGATGAGAACCATCGCAATCACGAAACGCGGCGACAGGTGTCTTACCTAGAGGGTCACCCCTCTCCTCAAGGCGACAATTACATAGTATCTTCACCGAACAGCTGACCTTCTTCGAAATCACCTCGACGTCTTCCTTCTGGAATCCATACGCAAGCTTCAAGTCGCACAGACTCTCAATCTCGTTAAACGCCGCGCAGTATGCGTCGAGAAGGGGCTCTGGATCCCACAGCCGTCTGTCGATGATCCCGAGACTGATGATGGACAACCGAGGAGCGTGTTTGATCGCTGAGGAGAACCACTCCGGCTTCGTGACGGCGTCCGGGCGAATTCTGACGTGCATGTGGCGGAGATTGGCGAGGGCGTCTTTCCACAGCGACTGAATCTGTCGCGGCGGTTGGATCTCGGGTCCGCTTGCTCTCTTGCCAAGTTTGGCGAGACGAAACCACGCGCTCTCTTCAAAGTCCTTGTGAGACTCCGACGCACTGCCGTCGTCGAAATAGACCATGTTTTGGATGAAGAATAGATCGAGGACTTCATGCCGCATCTGGCGGCAGACGCGAAGCAAAGATGGTCTATTCCAGGCGCGAGAGAAGGGAACTCCATTCGGATTGGCGCGAACCATCCCGCTAGAAAATATCTTGTAACCCGTCAGAAGTCTGGCTTCTAGGAATTTGCTCTGTGGTAATATGTCTGTGTATTCGTAAATAAGGTCCCGGAGTTCCCTGGGGAGGCGGAAGATCGGGAAGGCTGCAGGCGCAGCGGATCCTGGGGAGATGTCGTTAGTTACAGAAGCATCCGGAATAGTGACGACGGCTGAGGCAGCAGCATCGATAGGTTCAGACATTTGACCAGAGGCCGCATCAATGACCGAGGCAGACTTGGAATTCGCAGTGCTGCTCCTAGTTCGCAGTGCGCGGTAAGGCGCTGGGCGCTTTAAAACCGATTTGACTTTCCTAGGCATTTTGGTTGATTATGTTCACTGGTGTATGAAGGATTGTTTCGAGATAGCTTTCAAGATTTCAGCTTGAAAGTGTTTTCCAGAAAAGGATAAATAGTAGGACGGCAAGGTGTAATCCTGTAAGAAGACGAAAAGGTGCAGGAGGGGGCCATCCGCGCTCATTAAAGCCAAGACTAAAGGAGTCTATCGTCATTTTTGAGTGCCTACGGAATTGAATGGCCATCTAGGTGGCAGCTGAAGAGTACGCGACAAGTTAGGCCTACACCGTGACGGTCACATGTAGATACCTTGAGGAGCCTGGAGGGCTCTCATCGTCGCTACCAATACCATCGTTATTATCATCGTCCTCATTAATATTATCGTCGTCGCCGTCACAACTACTACCGTTATTATCGTGATCGTCCTTCGTGTTATAAACATTTCGCTACACAGCAAATGTAGCTGCCCAGATACAAAACAAAATAGGAGGTCTCTTGTTTTCACCCATAGATTCTTGGATGGCAACGGAAGTCTGGTAATATTAAGTTTCTCAGAAGAAAATCTGTTTCGAACCATGATGAGCAGTTTTCTAGTGAGTAGCCTTACGCCAGTGTTACAGCACTTAACTCCGCTTAAGGCATGTCTAGCCTTCCATTGGTAGCTATTCAATTCCTATGAACATTGGCATAGGTAGGTATCTTCCCGGTAATTATAGACCTTGAAATAAATTCGGCCAACACTCAAAACAGAAAATTACCACCGAACGGTCGGAACCGACAAGGCTGGCTCAAGCCCCAAAAAGCCTTGGCCCCGATGCCGTGAACCGACACGAGATACCCTTTTAGGCAATCTCACCACCCACGGAGAACCACCATCCGAACCACGCAATCGCCGCCTAAGCTCGGCTCTGATCCGCATCATATCTTGCGTCCCCATGCCCAGTAAGCGGAAGGATCAACTAGACTCAATCCTGGGATCCTATTTAAAATCCTCCGGGACGCGACGCTGCCAGATTAACGAATGGAACCGGATGGCGACTTGCCAGCATGGGAAACAGGATGAGATTGCTTGCGTCAGATCTGTCGTGCGACTTTGATTATTTGGATCAGGTATGCGCTAGGCAGGGGGTTGGTGAGTTTAAGTTAACCACGTTTTGGTGCTAATTTTCACAACATCCTTCACAATCTGGACGTTGCGTTTCAATATGTGCTGGTTGAACTGAACAAAAATCACTGACCGCAACACAACTATTTTCCTCACAAATAAAGTACATAACTGTAATACTTAGTTCTTAAAAAAACGTTCCACGTATTTTAAAGTCACCGCGAACCTCTGCGCGCCAGAAGTCGCTCAGGAATTTTGTTGTTGTTCATCGTGACGCCCCATGGCCATGAAAACACCATTGACAAAAATCGCGACAAATACCTCTCACAATCGGCAATTGGGCACTTAAGAAAGCCAGTGAAGCCTTAAATACGTTCATTGGGTATTGTTTACCCTGCTTGCATCACAATCGGCTCATAAACGCTCGTTGTCAACTGCATATCCAGCCTCAAAGTCACGATGATGTCCTCGGCCATTCTTTTCCCCGTCGCCGCCTCCCTCGCCACAGCCGCACCGGTGGGAGCCGCCGGGACAAGAACCTCTCTTCTGCGGGCCGTGCGGCAACACTCATTCAGCTCCAACTGACTGGCTGGAGAGAAGGGAGCCGGAAGCGCCCAGCCCTGTTGAGCTGAACGACCCCATCTAGATCTGCCTCTCCAGACTCTACCTGAGCCACGCGGGCCAGCTGGAATGCGAATCTTGACTCGCCCTCTGGGACACCACACTATTTTTGTTATTCTGCACCGCCGCACCCGTGACGCGGATCGACGGGAAAATCTACACTTCTTCAAAAACACACGAGTCCAAGCTAGGAAAAAACAAGGGCCCATCGACAGGAATGTTCTAGGGTTGATCATTTTCCAACGGGAGACCGCGGCACGCTATCTATGTTTGGCAGAAACATCTGGAATGCCGTCCCGCCGATGGGAGCAAGACAATGTCTGGTTACGCGTTGAGACCTCATGACGCCGTGATTCAATCGAAACCGAGGATGATGGGCGGGTGGGAACGAACATCTCTCTGCTGAGATGTTTGTCTTGGGCCCCTGTCCCGACCGGAGCTTTTTGCCTTTTCTCCCCTCTCCCTTTCTTCCCAGGAAAGCGGACGAAAAAAGACAACAACAATAACAACAAGCACAACTAACTCTCTCGATGTCTCTCTCCACCCCAATCAAAGTGGACTTTCCGCAATGATTCCGATGTGGTGGGTTGTCCCGCGCATTGGCTATCCGTAAGCTTCGCGGCAAGTCAGTTGCCGCGCAGGACAGGCACCACCTTGCAGCGCGCAAGCGCGCCGTTACCAACGGCTGTCAACAGCCAGGCCTGTCAGAAAAACCAAAAGAGGGTTTTTGCTGCCCGCTGGCCGCTCATTCCGAGATGCTGAACCCTTCCCACTCTCCCGCCCGTGTCCAACGCGGCCTGGCTCGACCCTGGAACGTGGGCACTCACTCTGTCTGACGTCGTTGTGTGGGGGGAGGAGAGGAGACCTGTGTGTTTTCCATCAAAGCCCAGGCCTCTCTTCTGAGAGTATTTCTCTTTGGTTCGTCTAGCTGCCAGCTGGGCGTTATTCCACCTGTGTGCCCCTCTCCAAGTGACAAGAAGATTCGCGGGCGCCGAGTCAAAAAGGCCAGGTGGCCCCTGGCTCGCCGTGCATCTGTACCTGCGTCTGCCCAGGCATTGGACCGCTTGGCCGCCTGTCGAACCCCGGTCTGGACGCGGGCCACGCCCCCAGCTGGCTGCAGTCAGCAGTGGACGTGTTCCCCGTCTGGTTCTGAACTTCTGAAGGATTCTCTCAGCGGTGCTGGATTGAGGGGAGGGGGTACGGATAAGTTTAAGGGGGCGCGTGAGCGTCTCTCTGGGCACTGGGCAGAGGAGCAAAAAAGGCTTGTCAGTGGGGGTTGGTTCCTGTCGGCTTATTTTCTGCTGCCGAGAACGAAGGTACATAAGATAATTCGCCCAGGAACAAAACAAGGCACGAGGTAAATCCACATCCGTCAACAGGAGACAGAGCCTCGGCGTTGAATTAAATGGCTTGGCCCTGGTTTTTTTTGTGCTTCGCTTGCGGCTTGCAGCTGTCAGAGTGGATGCTGTGCTAGGTTGACAAAAATCACCGCGAGTTCCGGGTACGGCATTCTGCATTGTCATCATCGATTGGTGCGGTGGAACATTCATGTCGCCAAGCGAAATGCGATGAAATGCCATGGTCGCGCGTCACATGATTTTTAATCTCAATTTTTGATTTCGATTTGTGTTTATGCTTGATGCGCCAATACAACCGTTTAACTAACCCGAAAAAACCTCATTGAACAACCAGACGTGTTCAATATTGAACGTAAAGAATATGCATACGTATAACTATACAATGGTAAAAATGTTTCATTATTCCGGGTTCCCAATCATTAGTCTAGATTTCTTTGAATTGATATCACAAATGCTCGCTGTGTGTAATTTGTGCGTTAAGAAAGAGGAACCAGCAAAAGAGGTTGTAACCCAATACCCCATGTCTCAAAATGTACACATTACTGGTTGGTATCGGTCTCTTGACCTCTTCTTCTTCTTTCGCGTTTCTCTTTACGAGGATGCAATGTCTATTGACAGCGTCGGCACGCGGAAGGTCACGACCTTGGTCGCGGACAGCGCTTCGGAGCCCAGACCCATGTAGCCGAGGTAGGTCGCGGTGGTGGGGAACTTGACGTCGGTCGCGAGCGCGGTGACGGAGGCCGGCAGGTCGGTGAGGGTCGTGACGAGCTCCGTGAGGTCGCCGACGAAGTGCTCGGTCGTGGGAGCGACCCAGGTCAGGACGTACTGCTTCAGACTGTTCTGGCCGCCGTAGAGAGTGCTGTAGATAGCATGTCAGCCCAAATCAGTCCTTCACGTTCCATGCATCGCGAACACTTACAATGTAGTCCCGTTAATAGCCTTGGTCGTAAGAGCGCCGGAGCCGGACTTGTAGCCAATGGGCTGCGTCGCGGAGCCGAACGTGGCGAGCCACACCATCACTTCGTACGCGGCGAGCGTCGAGTTCTGCGCGGAGGTCTTGTCGTCGTCCAGGAACATATCGATGGCGACGTTGGTGTTGGTGTCGTTCTCCGTCAGCGCCGTCTCGTCCGTCGTCGTCGCCGAGTCGCCGTCCGTGGTGTAGTTGCCGACCGCGTACGACCACTCGACGTCGACCGCGATCTTGGAGATCTTGGAGATCTCGAGCGGGAGGACGGTGCCGTCGACCTTGATGTTGGGGAAAGCGTGGACGGGCTGCGTCTCGGGACCGCGGGGGTAGCGCCAGGTGACCCAGAACTCGGGCGCCGAGAAGTCGGTCGCATAGGTTTGGTTGTTGAAAGTCGTGACCTGGTGGTGGCCGGGTTAGCTGCGATGGCCTGCGGTGGTGGTCGCCGGCGACGACATCTTCGTGGGCGTGAAGCCGGGTAAGGCGTTGAGGCGCAAAGCAAAGTTACACCTTGACGACATCATGACCCCGCCAATCGGCCAAGGTGCGATAACCGGAGA